ACCGGTTTTGTGGTTCAGCAAAAAGCCTTGAATGATAAGAACCGAGAAGGCCCCTATCACACCACTTAGTTTCTTCCTACAACTTCAGCCAAAAAATTTACTCGCCTCCTTATACATTTTGAGAAGTATACGCGCTTTCTCAGGTCTTTTTCCACATTGTTCTGAGGCAATAATGTTATTAAGAGACTTAATATAAGTGTCTATCTTCTTATCAAAGGGTTCAATGTTACTTTCATCCAAAAAACTTAGAATTCCCCAATCTGATGATTTACGACTGAAATATTCATGGATTCCATTTTGCATAGTATCAGTATCCAGTATCTTATAATCAAAAAAATTAAAAAATCCTTTTAAATCATTATTTTAGTATTTATTGTTCGAAGGATTTTTTAATTTCTACGCGCGTAGTGACATTCTTGATACGTTCTATTTAAAATTATCAAAAAAGTAATTAAATATAAAATCAAAAGTACGGGGTTGTCACATGGTAATAAGCCAATCAAAAATGGCCCTTTTATACATATGCACTATGTTGTAGCATAGAGCAAGTTTGATTTTATTGGTTAAAAAAAAATGATCGACATTTATGTTGATCAACTATAATTTTACAATGATCGTAATAAGTAAATTTGATTTGTCATAAGAAAAAAATTTTTTTTTATTATGAAAAAAAAAAAGAACAACGTGTACACCTAAAACTTGCACTTCTTTGTCGTTTAATAAAACAAGATCTAAATAGATCTGGTAAGTAAAGAATTTAAATGAGAGGGCAATATTTTAGGTATTAAATATTCGAAACTCTAAAATAGTGGTAGTTTGTTGAATTTCCATCTCCGAAAGCTTAATATATTACCAAGTACTAACTTGGTTAATTGCTTTTAAAAAAGCTATGTGCATATCTTGGGTTTTATTTAGGTTTACCTCTTCCATGGTATCATTGTCTTTGTCTGAAGTCTTTTTAAGATCTTTCTTCTCTTTGGCAGTAAGTACATTTGGGTTTTTTTCTAATCTTCTTAAAAAAAATTTAATATTATCATAAACTCCACATTTGTAATATTCTTCACAGTGATGGCAACTATATTCCATGATTTGATAACATTCAAAATAGTATCCATGCTTACAAACTAGTATTTCATTATCATCAAGTTTTTTGTAATAATAATCACAAGTGTCTGGCAATAGAAGTATACTAGTATTATATGCTGTGGAAAGACATCGTGAATCAACTGTTTCTTCTAGAATTATTAATTTATATTTATCTTCGTTAATAGGTTTATTTTTTCTCCAATTCTTGAAGACTTTATGGAAGTATCCTAATAAATATAAAACTGTTTTTTCTGTTAGGAAGTTTAAAACTGGTGGTTTATATGAATACTGCTTAGTTCTTTCAAATATATTTTTAAGTTTGTTGTAATCTTACGAATCTGAAAATGATTAATAAAATTATATATTTTATACTAGAATTATACTAGAATCTTACCATATGATGTAAATAATAAGTTAGTATTACAGTAAATGAAATTGAAACTTACTTATAACATAAGCCTGTCTAATAATATTATTAGTACTACTATTTGCGAATGTATGAGATTGTATTTTGCTATGCATATTTTTGACATAGTAATCATTAAAGTATACCAAAAATAATTTTATAACTTCGATAAATGGATGATTAGTATCTTGCCAATAAAATATATCAGAAAGAAATGCTAATGATGCTTTGTTATAATTTTGCCATTTCTATCTAAGAGCAAATGTCCAAATTCTAAAAATGGTCTTCATGTATTCATCAAAGGAACCGGATCGGAAAAGAATGATGTAAATGTCTAATATTGCTGAAATTATGTTATCCAACAAATCGACAGCCATACAATACTCTATATCCTTGCAAGTAGTTCCAAATTTTTTTATTATTGTATTTTTTATTTTGTACTATCTGTTATAGGCCAGATCAAGAAGCAAGTTTATTCTTCATAGTTTTGGTTTTTTTGCTAATTTTTTTTTTCTTCAAAAACAGAGTGAAATAACTTTTTAAAAAATGAATAATAAATTATTAACACTTGTTCTTTACTATTTAGAAAAACGTGAAGAGGCTCTATAATGGGAATAAAGAAATTTAATTCAGCTGGTATAGAATATAACGAATTTGAATTATTCAAATTTGTTATTGCTTTATGAATGAACAATTGCCTAGGCCAGTTCGCTATGATTGGTATAACTCTATTAGTTAAGTGTCAAAGATCTTTATTAATATCCAAGATCATTCGAAGTGCCATTATGTAATCATCCATGGAATGTAGACTTCTTTCTTGAATGCCTATTAACTTTACTCCTTTCATTGTCTGTTCATTTTTTTTCTCAGCAATTGCATCATCATAGCTATGAACTGTTAGCAAGTCTGTTTAATCAAAATTATTAAAATCCGATTTTCCATTACTTAGCCATTGCTGCTTATGATTGGTGTAAATAATATCAAATATTTTATGATATGTATTAATTAGCCAAAAACAGATATTACTTGCATCAATGTTCATAGGATTATGAATGGATATTCTATTAAAAATAAGAGGAACCAGTGCACAAATAGGAACTTGTTTGCAAATATAAGTGGTCATATGTTTTGCACTGGATAAGGTTATTGTATACGGCCTTTTTTTTTTATAGATGTTATGATAATCATCTAAATTATAAATATATAAAAAATTATTCTAATTCAAGTTTTATTATTATTATTATTTATTTTTTTATAAATTATTTATAATTTTATACTTTTTACTAATTTATTTTTTTACCTACCTGTTTAGAGAAATATTCTTTAATTTTTTTAGGATGATTATTTGTAAGTTTATTCATATAATCAAGAACTGTCTAATAGCAAGAAAAAAATCCAAGATTATGCATCATATCTATTACAGTACGTGATGTTCCTGATGCTAGCAAGTATAATCTGACTTCCAATTTAAAATCATTAACAAATTTATTTCTTATTCCTGCTATTATATAACATAAACTTACAACCAATTTCTTTGCCTCTATTTTATTATATGCAGATCTATTATTAGAAATTAGTGCCTTTACCATTTGGTCAAAAAACCCTTTTAAATATGGATCTGCTTTTTCAATCATTTGTTGAAAATGATTATGGTCAAATTCTAATTCAGAAGACTCACAATGCTTTTTATATAAAAGCGTTGTCAGTCTTCTAACTTGCTCAACAAATGTTACGTGTTATTATTTATTTTATTTATTTGTATATTTTTATTATTTATTTTAATTATTTTTTCTTTTATTGATTTAGGACTATTATTTCTATCAGATTCAACGATGTTCAAATAATGCTTATAGCACAATTAATTTCTGATAGTTAGATAGGCATAAGAGGCATAAGTCTTTTTTTTTGAGCTTTTTTGTATGCCAATGCTGTAAATTTTCGAAACTGACCTAGTTTTGTATCACAATTTCGCACTGAACACAGGCCTTCATTTTTTGAAATCATTATAAAAAAAATTTTTTAATAAATATATCAATCTTTAAAATTATCCAGAACAATGGTTTTTTTCATATTTTATAAGAACTTTTAAAAAAAAATTATTTTTTTTGAGAGAAGTTTCAAAAATTGCAACATGTTGATAGTAATAATGCATTTATTATTTATTAGCCAATCAAATTATTCAATTTCGTGTATGTAAATTACAGTATCAACATAAATGTTGATTCTTTTTTTTAACCAATAAAATCAAACTTGCTCTATGCTCTATATTGTTTAGATAATTATTGAACCCATGAATTTTAAAAAATTTTTTATACTAATGTTATTGAACTTATATGATTTTAATATAAAAGTAGTTCAGTTTAAAAGTGTTTTATATAATAGCTTTCATACTTGCTTTTAATTACATCCTTTATGCTTGATCTTATCCAAATTAATAATTTTATTTATTTTGAATAACTTTATAAATGTAATATTTATTACAGCCAGAAAGTATTATTATTACAGTTTTTCTAAGTATTGGAATATACTATTGCCTTTTATAATCCTCCAATTTTTTTTTTTTTTTTTTTGAACTTTGGTGACAATGCCTGTTGGTTTTTATTAGCCTTAATTTGATATAGTACAAATTTTTATGGTTACATTTTAGGATCGATTATTACTAGTACTATATACTATCTAATTTAATACTACTGACTTCACCCGGTTACCCTTA